CAATGCGAATGCGGACTTACTGTAGCCCTTGGCCTTGAGATCTGGGAATAGAGCGACCCAGTTGGCGAAGTTGTCGCCTGGGGAGATGCCCCATAGCGTGCGGAATCGAGCGATGCTAGGCATGTTGACCAAAGTGCAGATACTATGGGATCTAGTAACGGGCAAGAAGACTGACGAAGGAGAGAAAGATCAAAGACAAAGCATCAGCTTCGAGAGACGTAAAGCCTGGTAAGGCGAATATGCGAGGGCGAGGCATTGCTTTTTAAAGCTCTCACAGCTCCCATTAGAAACCCTCCATAGAATTAACCCTGTCCCAAAGCTCCCCGCGATTCCGTCAAACTCGAGAGCTCTTATTCCATCTATAGCCGGCCAATGACCCGAAGCCAATTCGACCAGATGGGCTTCAATGGTGGACCCCGAAAATGGTCCGAAAGCGCCCCAGTCCTGAATCCTTTGCTTTTGCTATAGTCAAACCTGGGGCTGCTTTATGTAGGTAGTCTAGAAGGGATACACTCGGCGAACTTTTACTTGATATGGACAGTCCTCAAAGGAACGGCGCAATGGCATCATCCCGTCCTTTTGTGAACCCCGCGGATTGTAAGCCCCTCCCCCACTTGCCAAAAACGGTAATTTTCCCCTCGGAGTCTGGGGAATAGTGGATCATCCATTCGTTGTGTGAGCTTCAACTCGAGTCTCAAGCTGCCCAAAACTTGTGGTTGAGGAAAGGAAAAAGTACTGAAGGTGTTCTCTGGTTCGAGTAAGACTCGCCTGTTTGTATAGAACCCGTATTCACAAAGGCAGAGCGTCGTGTTTGGGTGTTCCTTGCCGCGCCAGTGTCAAGTCTGACTGGGTGTCAGTAGCTTGAAGGTGCCACATCAGTCTGCATGCTACTTACATCAATGCCATCTTGGAACGCATCGAAATCTGTATCGAAATATTCTCGGTTTTCATTGACGGCCATTGATCCCACCCTCTGCTAGCTGAAACTAAGCTTTTCGAAGTACCAAGCCCTATCGGCAGATCTCGACCCTTCAAGCCGGGTTCAATGACACGTGGGAGACTGAGCTAGACATGACGATGAAATCCATTCGCTATCAAGTCGTGATTGACTCCTAGGAACGGAAAAAGGATTTCTTCGGAAGAATTTCCGTGCCAATAGTCCGGGTTGAAAGTCCATGGGTTATTCTACTACCCCGTCCACTGTTGTCTTCCTACCTGACGTGAACAAGGTCTAGAGAGCACTGCCAATACAGACAGAGACCCTGTCGTGGGGATCCATAGACTGACAAGAGGCCGAGTTCTTTGCATGATCAGCTCTCCTGGTTCTGAATCTCCATTGCGACATGCCAATCCAAATGCTCGAGAACATCTTCTGGCTGCACAGCCTCGTCACACTTAGGGCACAAGTATTGCTGTACTTGCTCGTCTGATGAGCGACCTTGAACGGCCCGAGCCGAGGTACTTGCAGTAGCCAATCTCCCTGATGCTGAGTCTTTTTCTGCATCGTTCGCTCTATGCATTCTTTTTCTACCTGCATGCATGCTCGCCACATCTCCCTCTCGGCTTCGTTTCTGAGGGGACGCAGAGGACTCCGATGTAAAGAAGGACGTGATACGGTGCCCAGGATCAGACGTAGGCACCCCGGATTCCAGATTCGACATGCTAACAGAGATACCCAAGCACGGCCAAGACTCACCGTGGTCTGTAAGATCCTTGAGTAATCCATGAAGCATGTTAAATATGGTATCCCGGTTGATCTCGACGTGCGGTGGGATCGGCGTTTGCTTGGATCGCGTCGGGCCGAACCGACCCCGGATATGGTGTTGAACAGCAATAGTCCTGGGTCGTCGGGGTACCTCTGAATCCAGATCGAGATCGCGTAGTCGCGACTCAAGATCTGCCGCAAAGATTCGCAGCCATTTGCTGGCCTGTTGTAGGTTCTCGGCTTTGGGCACAAAGGTCTTGGCAGCCAGCAAAGACTGGACTTCACTCCGGGGCCTCACTGGGCCTGTCTCGTCACCTCTGATGGCCCTGTACACCCATTGGCCATCTTGCGCTCCCAATTCTGATCTCATCTCTGCAAGTGAGACCTGGAGGAGGTCGCGTATGCCATCGTACCCGAACGCCTTGACGACTCTCTGACCAAGCTGCCTTGCCAGGCCGGAGAGTGAGGTCACTTTGAGGGTAGGCATAATGGTGGGGATACATTTGCGCCTGATGATTGTTTGACCGAATGGCTTGTTCATTCGAGAAGCGACCTTGGCGAGCATCTTGTTGTGGCTAATGCCGGCGGACGTCGTGAGTTCCAGGTCCACCTTGATTTCCTTGCGGATATTGCGAATAATGCTTGCCCCGATGCTCAGTACCACATCGTCCCAGTCGAGTATGTACTCTGGGTCATTGGTGTTGGGGAGATCCATCACCTTGTCCGACTTCCAGTTGAGCGAAGTGTCCACCGGGGGTAGCGGTAGCGTTTCTTCGGCGTTGTTACTGAGCGATCCCAATCCGGGGAATCGCTCCAGCAGAATCTGATAGACTTGAGCTGACAGGTCAACGTAGAACTCATCAACCCCGGCTCTCTCGATTGTAGGCGCAGGTGTGGCCGGAAGGATCCTTCGCACAAGCTTCATCGTCCTCCTTGACATGTCGCGATATGGATCTAGAGAAGCCTTGTCCGTCGTCAAATTGTCCAGAACGTCTGCTCTGTACCTCCAGCAATCGTCACCTTCCCTCCAAGTCGGGACGTGTTGAAGGACAATGTCTGGGCAGAGTCGACGGGCTTCCTCCACTGAGATAGTCCTCTTCAGTCCGCGATCCTTTGCTGAATAATTCAACGCGATGATGGCGTTCCATTGGCGCACTGCGAGGGGTTTGGAAGGGGGATGACCCAGCCTCACAGATTCATACTGGGCATAGAAGGAGTCGTAATCGACGAGGGCAACAACTCGGAGAGGCGATTCTGGAGACGATTGTGCTAGGAGCTGCAAGTCATGCTGGGTGAATTGTGATTCAGCGCTTGTCGGATCAGTCGGGAACGTGAAGCTATCATCGGACATGGCTGTGGCGTGTTCAGCTCCGTAGAATCATGTCGCCGCTTATCTAAACGTGTAAGGTGAGTGAAGACTCGTCATAAGAGCCAAAACTTGAGTGCGTTCTTGAAGATGGAGGTTGGCGATGTAGCTGTCGACTGCGCCATTGGAAGGAAATGTCTGGGGTCCTCACTAACAGGCATGGAGCACAGCCTAGGGACTTGACTGCAGTAGTGCTGTGACGTTCTGTTAGAGTGTAACCTTAGATCGCGGGTGATTGCATGCGATCGCTAACTGAATCGAACACCCAAGCTGCTTATGCGGAGCTGACGGACAATTACAGCGCAAAAATGTCCGACACTCGGTGGACAGCTGCCTGTGAGTGAGAAACCAAGACTACTTTGGGGGATAATTAGAGGTTACCTAATATCACCGACTGGGCTCAACTTCAGTCCGCAAAAACAGAGTTTTGCTGAAGAATGATGATTTAGAGCAAGATGCATAATTCAATCCTTAAGATGGAAAAGGGGAAAGATAGGGGGGAGTTGATGTTGTCTGTCACTAGACAGACTTCTTACACGCTTAACATGGTGTCGGTGTTGTCTCGGTGCCTGAATGATCGTGTTATGAACCCACCTCAGAACCTATCAATTTCACCTTCAAGCCGTAACGCAACGCAGTGTAGACGAGCCTCAGAGGGCGAACGGAGACTGTTATTCTCAATTCAAACTTGTGTAGGTACGCATTTCCCGAGTTTAGATAATGAATTCATTAGGTAATTTGAAGGATGAAAAAAGCCCACATGTTGCTAGCAGACCTATCCATCAAAACACCACAAACCCCCCACTTGACATCGTGAGAAACATCAAAACACCAAAAACATACAACACCAGGTATTCGCTGGTCGTCACCGACCCAACTACTAATCCGGCCCTCATTGGCTTGTCTATGGGAGAGCGGACGGGATCCCGAATTTTCCAATGGGTATGGTCGTATGTGGCGGTCGAAAATCGTGAGGCTGCTGATGGACGAAGTGAGTGCCGACAGCATGGTGCGGAAAGTGGACTCAGCTATGGTAACTAAGGTGGTTTTGCAAGGAATCAGAGAAGGTTCCTCAAATTCCAACCCAATCTGCTGGGAAATAGAAACTGCCAGTAACGTCCCGGTGGTCATCTGCAGTGACCAGAGCTCTGAGATGTTGGCGGTCAAGCACGGGCATTAGAGACCATTGCAGAAGACCATCCTGTGAGTGGCAAAAGACGGAGATTTGGTCATTGGTGGTCATGGAGAGTTCCATGTATTCAGCTTGCTGCTTGTAAGTGGCCTTTATTAGTCGTGCGAAGTATTCACACAACCGCGTGGTCCACATGGGATGTTGATGCCAAGAGGGCACCAGGCTGCTTGAATGTGCAGTCTTTTGTGGAGGACTTCCCAAAACGAGACGAAGAGTCTCTTACTCGAAGTTTTTGTTAACCTCTAGAACGATCATCCAGAAACTTAAGCTGTACCTGGTAGCTAATGTACACACTATCAACGATTCGACGTCTCTCTGCGTGCATGATTTAAAGAACCAGGAGTTGTTGCTGACGACTTTTCGTTCCAGTTTCGAAACTGTATTCCAAAAAGACGTCCTATGTATGAACTCGAGACACTAATGTCTGCGTTTGATCGGTAGGGAAGGCTCCAACCCTATCCTCAACTTTCTATTTCGGGGCCTTCCATGCCTTGGCGCGGGCTTGCGGACTTGCGGAGTAGAAGGGATGGATCATGAGACCCCCCACCGGTGATGAAGCAAAATAACGACACGGCACGAAGACTGCCCGTAAATGACTAATTGAAGTATATCATAACGTTACTCAACAACCTCCTATGCCATCAAAAGCCGGCCAAATCGCTATATTTCTACAGACATGTCAGTTGTCATAACCCCCACAGCCAGCAGCGCACAGGCAATACTTGTCAATCTAAGCTATGGCATCCATCATTGCAGTAGCTGGAGGCACTGGCGATCTCGGTCGTACCATTGTTGAGGCTATTCTGGCAGACGGAAAGTTCTCAGTCGTCATCTTGAGCAGAAAGGTGTGTATAATTCCCACGATTTAATACTTCGCAGGTTTACTTCGCCCACTGACTAAACCTCTAGGCGGATGAAGACAGGTAGAAGGAAATCGGGGCTTGCATTTTGCCAGTCGACTATAGCAGTGTCGACAATATTGCTAGGGTCTTGGAGGAGAATGATGTGCATACGGTCATCTCAACCCTCAACAACATGGCGTCTGTGCAGCCAGAGTTGAACTGATCGCTGCTGCCGATCAGGCCGCGGCCACCAAACGATATGTTCCCAGCATCTGGGGCGCCAAATTCAGAAGAGAGTGAGCCTCCATCTTCCAGACTCTTGGTGGACAGCAAGACTAAGATATTCTTTCTCTCATAGATACGCGGAGGAGATGCCAATCATTAGACCCAAGATTCTGATCATTGACGCACTTGAAAAGACCAACTTGGAGTTTTCGGCTTGGTACCCTGGATACTTCGCTGACTACTATGTGTGTCCGCCCCTGGAAAGTCATCTCACGAGCATGGCTATGGTCGTGGACGTCGTCAACAACAAGGCAGGCATCCCAGGCTCTGGAGACGTGCCAGTGGCCATGACTTTCACATCGGACCTCGCCAAGTTTGTCGCCGCAGCTCTGACCCTACCAAAGTGGGAGCAGGAGACGTATCTTGTTGGCGACAAGTTGACGTGGAACCAGCTCGTCGAGCTCGCTGAAGCTGTCAAGGGTGTCAAGTTTGACGTTTCCCATGACTCAATCGAAACGTTGAAAGCTGGCAAGGTGACGAAACTGCCTCGCCATAGATCACCTTATCCTTACATCTCAGACGAGCAGCTACAGCCTATGTTTGCCATCTTAGGTCTCATGTTCGAACGTGGTGTATTTGACTTGAGGGTCGAGACCTCCATCACGCAAGACTTTCCTGATCTCAAATTGAGGTCGATGAAGGAGCTGCTGGAAGAGGCTTACAAGCTCAAAGTTTGATTATGTCACTCCGAGGAACGGCGAGAAACTCGAAAGAGTGTGGGGATACAAGTCGAGAGGCAATTTCTTTGGTCTTGATAGAGATGATACAGGCGAAACGTCTATGGCTAGGCCAAGAGAGCTTTTGCCTTGTTTCTTGTGTTTGCAAGTTGCCCTCATGACTACTAGTATAATGTCTGGCGAACACTCTCGAAAATGCCCAAAATTCGGTACTCAGAGTGGCACAAAGGCTCCGCGGAGCGCCCATGCAGGTGTCTTCAACAGCCCACATGAGCCCCATGTGCCATGGCATGACAGTGGTGCGTGAGGCCGGTTCGGGCGATTTCGGAGCTTAAGATTGTGGACTCGACAGGAAGCCGTTTCCCCAGATCGACAGATTCCCCTGCAAGCGTCCCAAGATGGGCAGCTGCCAGACGGAAGGGTGTTCCGAGAGCCTAGAAGGTTCGGGTCGGACAGGAACATAAATATCGAGGTAACTCCCTTTCAAGCAGAAGCTGCAGAGCGCCGCTCTGCTGATTAGAGATGCTACGCGAAACGGACATCGAAAAGGCATCGGTGTCTTCGCGCATCACATGGCGACTTCCGACAGATTCCCCGAACTGTCTGACACCAAACATATGACTGCAATACGGGCGACATTCATACATACTGGCCATTGCGACTGGGCCGACGATAGACGAGCGAATCAACAGACCTGGAACGAGCCCGGAGTGAGTCTGCAAGAATCGTAACACAGCGTTCGGATGTGCCCGACGTTCAATGAAAGAAGGCCCTCGCATTATATGGGAGACTGTTGGATGTGTTGGAAGATTGCCAAGTCACAATCTAGCCCTGTGTGGACTCCCTCAACAGAAAAGGGGGACGACGAGGACTCGTAAATCAACACGAGGCATCAGCAAAAGTTTTCACGAGCACCTGACAGACGCTCGATCACAGACAACGTGATAAGAAAACAATTTTCCAAAATAATTGAGGTAAGGGAAAGGAGCGGTAAGTCTCGAAGCGGCCGAGAGGTGAAGCAGCATGACCCAAGACCGGGAATATGTCTCCCACTCTACCCCACCACGCCCCCAGATCATTCTGGAGTCTTTGCTTAAACCCACTAGAACCCATCTATCGGATCCAATTCACATATTCCCATTGGCGCGGGTAAAGTGCTGGATAAATAGGCCACAGGACGCTAAAGTCGGGTACAATGCCGCTGCGTTGCGCGCCTATGACAGTTTGGAACCACTGTTCCAATGCGAATTTCGATGCTTGGGAGAAAGCCATCCGAAGACTCAACATTGTTGACTTTGGTTGATTGGAAAGAAGTCAGCTGGTAGCAGTCAACAAGTCTGGTGTCTGAGGCTCTTCCGGAAGCTCTCCTCAAGTCCACAACTACGAGATGTGCTCTTTCAGACCAGTTAGAGAGACTCTTTGGTCCATCGTACAACCAGTCCCCAAGTTCCTACGAAAACGAGAGCAAAGTGGGAAAAGTTGAGAAGCTCCCTGGCAACCAAAACAAACCAAACCAAGCCTCTCCCTCTCTTTTCTTTTTACCCCCACCCCGCACCGGCGATAGCTCTCCCCCATCCTAATAACTGGAGCACAGTCAGGGAAGAGTCTCGACCGCCATGGCAGGGAATGAGGGCGTATGGATACGGGTAATGACACGGGATAATCAAGAGCGTGGAGCTTCCCTCCAGCTCTAGGCTGGAACTGGGAAGTCTAGGAGTCTAAGACGCGCCGCAATGAGGGGCAGCCGTCAGTCGCACAGAACACCGCCTGGTTAGCAATTGAGACGATGCGCGATCTTCGTCGTTTCTCATCTACGGCACGGCATAGGCACAGCGCAGCTTGCTCACTCATCCTCCCAGAACATCTGTAACTTGGTCGCATTCCCCATCCTGATTGCGTTCCTCCTCCACATCCCTCCAACCCCTCCAATCCTGACCCATCACACCGTTTCCTGCGGGCCGAGGACTGCGGTCATAGCTATTTAATCCATTGCGCGCCGGTCCACGATACCCGTAGCTTCACTTCTGCTCTCACTCTTCTCACTCGCCCATCATTCAGCGTACTGATTGTCTCTACCTTTCTCCAACGATACCCCTTTTGCTCAGGAGACTGTGAACTTTGTGACGAACGCCCAGCCGAAAGTTAATCTTGTGCTTCTCTCGGTGGAACGAGCACCGACCAAATTCAAAAAAAACCCATCCCACACCGAATCATCCCTCTTTCCGTAACCCCGCAATCCATTCATCATGGCCGGCACTGAGGGCAAAAGCGTATGTTCACCTCCATCACGAAGGCCTCCTTGCGCCCAGGGCTCGATCGACATTGTACTAACGAAGCGCAGAACCTCTCCTTCATCCTCAACAAGCCCCACGACGTCGAGTTCGCCGAGCGCCCCATCCCCAAGCTCTCCGACCCCCACGAAGTCCTCGTCGCCGTCAACTACACTGGTATCTGCGGCTCCGATGTCCACTACTGGGAGCACGGCGCCATCGGCCACTTCGTCGTCAAGGATCCCATGGTCCTCGGCCACGAGTCCGCTGGCACCGTCATCCAAGTCGGCGAGAACGTGAAGAACCTCGTAGTTGGCGACCGCATCGCCCTCGAGCCCGGCTACCCCTGCCGTCGCTGCGGCGACTGCCTTGCCGGTCACTACAACCTGTGCCCCGACATGCGCTTCGCCGCGACTCCCCCCTACGACGGCACCCTGGCCGGTTTCTGGACCGCCCCCTCCGACTTCTGCTACAAGTTGCCCGACAACGTCTCCTTGCAAGAGGGAGCTCTGATCGAGCCGTTGGCTGTTGCCGTTCACATCACCAAGCAGGCCCAGATCACCCCTGGCGCCTCCGTCGTCGTCATGGGCGCTGGTCCTGTCGGTCTGCTCTGCGCGGCCGTCGCAAAGTCATTCGGTGCCACCAAGGTCGTCAGCGTCGATATCGTCCAGTCCAAGCTTGACTTCGCCAAGGACCTCGCCTCTACTCACACCTACCTCTCCCAGCGCGTTTCCGCCGAGGAGAATGCCAAGGCTCTCATCAAGCAGTGCGACCTCGGCGCGGGAGCCGACTGCGTTATCGACGCCAGCGGTGCCGAGCCCTCTATCCAGACCAGCTTGCACGTTGTCAGGATGGGCGGCACCTACGTCCAGGGCGGTATGGGCAAGTCCGACATCAACTTTCCCATCATGGCTCTGTGCTTGAAGGAGGTTACTGCTCGCGGCAGCTTCCGCTACGGCCCTGGCGACTACAAGCTCGCCATTGACCTCGTTGCCAACGGCAGCGTCAACGTCAAGAAGCTTATTTCCGGCATTGTCGAGTTCAAGCAGGCCGAGGAGGCCTTCAAGAAGGTCAAGGAGGGTCAAGTGATCAAGATCCTCATCGCTGGTCCCAACGAGAAGGTCGATGGAACTTTCAGCACCGAGGTGGACCCCAAGAAGGCAGCTGAGAACGGCAACCAGGGTGGATGCTGCTAAGCGATCGACGGAGATCTCCAAAGTTAGATAGAAGAAAGAAGCAATGACTGGTGGGCGGATGATAACGAAAAAAAGAGTTGGGCGTAATGGGTGGGTTTGCGATGTATTTCTCGGCGCATGCAGCATGTACGGGTTTTGATGAAGAGGGGTGAGGGTGGGACAGCATTGTATGTTTGCATTGGATAAGTATGATCAACGAAAGATTCAATCACTTTTTGCATTTCATGGACTTGTTCCCGCGTGTCTCATCCCGGTTCCGGCTGTGCTGGGGAGTTGACAAGATTGACCGACGTTGAGAAAGCTAGGCAATCTGCTCTACACCAGGCTGCCTCTGCCTCTGCCTAGCATCGTCAGTCCGACATATCAAGCATCATACGACAACCTGCGCCCTTTACAAATTAGTGTCGGTGTCTGAAACCCTCGCAACAAGGCAATGATCACCGGCCGGCAGACAGGACCCTAGCCAAGTCCAACTAAAGTTATCTTCTCGGGCATGGTTACGTGTTAGCTCAATACCATCACCAGCGCCCAACGGCCGCCAAAGTCCGAGTCTTTACTATCGCGACAACTCCCCAGAGCCTTATTTCCCCCATTTCAGTTAGTGGAGAGGAACTTGGAGAAGCACCCATTCACGACCACGAGATAGACGAGCAACAGGCATGTAAACTGCGCAAAACTCCGCCCTGCCGTTCAGCTCAAGACGCCACGAAGCGCACTAGCAGCTTGAGCGTCACTCTCGTCCCCTGAACCGGTCTAGCCCGGACGCCTTGGGTCCCACAACCTCACCCGTTCCGCCCTCTCACCCCCGGTCAACGCGGAATCTCTAATGTCCCCCATTTGAACCCTTGAACAAGCCTCAAGCCGGGCAACTCAACCTCAGACATGGTTTACCTGGCTACCTACGGACACGGATTCAGAGCAAAGTGACTAACACCAGCAGCCACCACCAGTGAGAACGAACGTTCGCGCCCACGACTCACCACAAAACCCGTGCCGACCACCCGCATTACCACAGCCCTGCCAAGGCAAGCGATGTCAACCTTGCAGAAGAGCTGAACCACTGAACAAGCACTCGACCACACTAGCATCTCGACTCATGGGTACTCACGGCCGTTTCTAGCTTGAAAAGCATCCACAATTAGGCTTTCTTCGTTTCTATACACCCGTCTAGGAAACAAGCCTTTCGCAGCCCCTGTTCTTCTGTTGTACGGCCTATATGGGGAGCCTCATGCAAGTTTACCGCTAGACTGAAGCCTCTCCTGCTGGCTCACGACAAGAACCCTGCATCACGATAGACGCCATCAGGCACATGCGGCACGCCCAAGGAGCAAAAAAGAATGAAGGCTGAAAGACGGAACGCTCTGGTTGGCTGTGTGAGAGATGGGGGAGATGTAGGCGACGATGTCGGCCGCCCCCTCCCTTGACTCGTCCTTGTCACATTCTGTCCGAGTCTCACTCCATAAGTATACTTGCATCCTGCCCATCTCCACCATGGCGCTCTTGATTCTTCTGTCTTTGGTTCCTCAGGATCTCTACAACACCTTCTTCTCACTCTCGCCAGGGCTGCCGAGACCGTCGAGTCGACAAGAGACGTGAACATATCGTCTTGCTATACAGTCTTATCTATCAACTCCGGGACACCATGGAGAATACTCAACATCAACAGCCTCAGATGCAGCCTCAAGCACAACCTCAACCCCAGATTCAGCATCAACCACAGCAGTATACACACCATGCTTCAACCAGCCCACCGCCAGCCATGATCATGACCCCGGCGTGGATGGTTGCCATCCGCGGCGTGCAGTTCTTTCTCGCCGTCGTCATCCTCGGCTTGTCGGCAGCCATCATTCACTGGGTGTACATGGACGAACTCGGCCTCGCTGTTGCTATTGTACGTCCTTCCCCTCATTTGTAGTCTTGTAGGTAGTACTCAAGATTCATGCACTAACATGCCTGATCAGCCTCTCTTCACGTGGATCATCGTGCTTTACGCCGTCCTCTCCGAAAAGATTTCTTCTCTCCGCAACCTCTACCATACCTACGCCGTCCTCGCTCTGGATCTCTTCCTTGTCATCCTCTGGCTCGCAACAATGGGTGCCTGTGCTGCCCGTCGCGCTACCTTCACCGTTGATGTAACAGCCTCCTGCACCTCGGATGGCTCCGCTGTGAACTCGGGAAGCTGCACCATCTTCAAGCGATACATCGTCATGAGCCAGGGCGCATTGGCCATGTTCTCTGCTATTGCAGGATTGTCTGCCCTGCAGTTCATCCTCTTCTTGGTCACCTTCATCTGGACTCTTGTTCAGTTCCTGCGCTGGAGAAAGACCAACGCACCTGCCGCTGCTGCAAGCGCCAGTCAGGGTGAGATCCAGATGGAGTCTAAGCAGCCGTTCCTCACGCAGCAGACTGCGTACCAGCAGCCGCAGAACGGCCAGGTGCCCCATCAGCAGCAACAGCAGCAGTTCTACCCACCTCAGTCCTACACGCCTCAACCGCAGGCTCCTCCTCAACAGTACCAGCAGCAGCCACCTCAGCAGTACCAGGAGATGCCGAACCAGCAACCCCAGCAACAACAGTACCAGCAGGCTCCTCTGGCCCAGAACTACACTCAGCCGCCGCAGGACTACCAGCAGCACCAGCAGCAGTACCCTCCTCAATCATATACCCCTTCGCCTGTTCACGGCGCTGTTTCGCCGACAAATTCTCCGCCGCCGCAAGGGCAAACTTACACCTATCCCCCGCAGGAGCTTCGGTAGACAATAGTTACGAGGCACGAAGAAACGGCGATGACTTGAGACTCGGATGAGTGGCCTAAGTCTGAACTGCTTGTCGCATGATGGCTTTTCGCATGGGTTTATTGGTTGGTGTAATGGTTTGTTATATAGTTTCGGGGAGTTGGTTAAAGGATGGATATGACGCTGAAGTGGTGATTGAAAGTCCCTTGCTCTGATTTGGATGATACCTTGGACCGAGTGCTTTAATACAATGGTTTCGCAACAGCATTCCAAATGACACAGACGCCTGCCGATCCACGATCCTGTGTATCCTGCCATACCATCTTCGCCGCCCTGAATCAATCTGTGTACAAGGAGAGCCTCCACCCCTTTTCGAATGCACACTCCCTTAAGTTCGTGTTGCTTTTATTCTGATGTGCTCTGCCAAACTCGGAAGTCTCGACTGCATCTGACACTTCCACTAAGAAAAGCTTGACTACTTTACGGGAATAAATGATGAGATCGAAGCAATCCAGGTGCATTCTCCAAGCTGCGGCAGCTTGTAATATGACAAGCGGGTATGTCACATTCTTGATGGATAGTAGAGGGGATATTTTGCCGAGCAACCTTGAGCTACGCGAGGGCCAAGTCCATGTCTTCCATTGGTGCCCTCTATCATGTTTGCTAACCGACTAACCCTCTTGTGAAGCCGGGAGCTTTTCCGGTTTCCAAACGCTTCACTCCACGCGCGATATCCGAAAGAACGGTTAATTCCTCATATTCCCTATTGGAACTAAATAGGACCCTAGTTAGGCAATGTAGGTACTTGGAACCAGCTTAGTGATTTCACATCACCACCACCGCCGACTACTTATGACGGCATTTCCCAAGCTAAAGTTACAGGCGTTTACCACTTCTACTCATCACCACTACAAGATTTTAGGGCTGGTTGATTTGCTTCGAGTCGTATTGAAGAAGATCTAACACAATAAAAACTCTGCAAGTTGAGATTTTTGCACTTGTGATGATTGCTTGTACTTCTGTGAGAGCGTATAAAAGCAGTCATGTGGGGATATGGAAAGAGTACCAGCCGCGATAAGGATTCAAAATGATAAGATTTTCAAGTGCCCCCATTTCTATACGAGATTTGGCGTCTTTGCTGCCTAGAAAACGATGCAGTTCCCTTTATTTGCTGCTTAAGCTCGATCGCACTTCGTGTCAGGGGGATTGAGTCGTGCGTAGGCAGAAGCTTTAATTCACATATCACGGACTTATGCCAAGGGTGGGAGTAGCTGAGGCGGTACAATAAATCCCCGAACTCAGCATACCAAGACGATTGTGGGAACGGTTACCAAATACACTCCCTACGTCCTTTAGGTACATAAATAAGTTTCAAGTCTCTTCAGGGTGATGAATCTTTCTGTCCGTATCCCCCCTACTTATTTGACTATCACAGAATCATCCAAGCTCGGTTTCTCAATTCTTCATCATGCGGACATTTCTGATCTTCCCTCTTCTTTTCTCGACTGCTTCTTTGGCAACACCCCTGATATCACGAGACGAGCCGCAGGATTGGATCGCAGGAGAGATCGCTTACGCTAAAACCTACGACATCACCCTTCAGCCCAGTGATACGGGAATCGGCAAACGAGGCATGCTCTTGGCTCGATACAACGATGGTGAAGGCCGTTACCTAGGTTCCGACGGCAATCACCGTTACGCCTCTGGTGTCAAGTGCTGGAACGATTATTTCGTTGTCGAACAGAACCTTTACAACGACCCTTGGCGCCAGGCCTCCAGCAAAGTTTACTGCACCAAGAGCCAGTCCTGCCAGGCGACTCAGGGTGTCAACAACCAGGTCTGCGAGACTACTTCCTTTGAGATTTCCGCTGGAATCACGGCCGAGTTCGTCACCGCCAGTATCAGTGTTGGCCACCAGACGCAGACTTGCAGCGGATCGACCTCATTGACTGCGTGTACCTGGAACGATCAAGGGTGTCATGTCATTTGGAGCCAACAGCAGATGTTAAGCCAGAAGGGGTACCAAAGACGAAGATGCACGAGCAGTAATGGAGACTACACGGCATGGTCTAAGTTCCTGGAAAAGAAGGCTCCTACCGAATTCAAGAATTACGGCTGTGGAAGCTCTTGCAATGATAGCTTCTAACTCGAGGATTACTCTTCGGCAGCGCAAGAAGCGGGGATTAGACAGCTACGCAACTATGCTCTCGTTACTTTGCGGTTGATATCAATCACATGAACTTCCTCAATTTCTCAAGTCTGATGGATCTGGCTTGTCTAGCCAAGGGGCTTGGTATCTTCGGTATTAGTGCCAGCATTAGTCCCGAAGCCGAAGGCAGGTTCCCACGTTCGATGACTGCGAAGACGGATAGATAAATGGAGTATTTCACCTTCTACAGTACATATCTCATACAATTAAACCCAAGCTTTATCTTCGAAACTCAACTTCTTCATCCTGTAACCCTGCCATCACTTTATGACTATTGACTGGTGTACTCTTGGCCTATGTCGGCGATGCCACTTGTATAGTTGCTCAGAAGCGCACTGGTGATCAGGAAATATATTGGCTTCAATGCTTCAATGCTCCAAAAACAAAAAAAATCGGGACATGATTATACCATCTGTTCAACGAGTGAACAAGATACCGGACTGGAAGCTTGATACATCTAGACCGCTCTGAGCATGGTCTCGCACCTGGTAAACCTTGACTAGCTCTAAACCTTTGACCATGATACAAAGTACAGGTGCTAGCCTCCTTAAATATTGGTAATTTTCCTAGATCTTTATTCACGAAATGAACAGAATGTTTACTAGCGAAAGTCAGCGTCTATGCAAATTGCCTGTACTTTACCTACAGCTCAGGCGCCCATCCTGACTGGAAAGATTTGGCCCTGCAGAGACAAAGCACATCTGTCTGCAACACTGCTGGGCAGATGACTGAATGAGTCGGGTTCTCCCGCCCTAAAGGGTTCTCTGGTACATCTATCTCAACGATTCCTTGGTCATAATATTTTCAGAATGCCGAAACCGAGATTGAGTTGGCTTTTTAGCTGTGGTATCATGTCTATTAGACGAAGAATGGGTAGAGGTCGTTCTAATTGACTTCGCTGCGGTGACTTGGGTCCCAAAATAAGGCCTTTACGGGACTTAATCTAACAAATTCCTAGCTTTAAAATTATTCGCAAAGCAAATCGTCGACTTCGTGATATACGTGCGCGCAGTGAGTGTGCGGACCGCTGGTGCAGTAGGACTTTCTCCGACATTTAGCTACTCTCAAGTCCCTCCGTAGCAGCTCAGGGGGCCATGAATTAGACCCAGATATTGGTACAACCAGCTAAGATCTCACACTTGGGCTGGCTGTCGAGCCCATCAAATCGCTTTGCGGCGGTGATTCTACTTGGTTCCATTCAGGGCCAGTCAGGCTAAGGCTCCTAGATCCAAGAGCCACCATTCATGCGGTGGTCAGATCATTTGATCTCAAATGGAAAAGAATCGGTATTGCGTTTGCTGCCAAGGCTGTGAGGAGAAGAATATAATCTATTGCCGAATGGCAGCGGATCGCTTCGACGATGATTCAAGGCCTATGTTTACTTTTGGTATGGATGTACGTATAATTCATCTCCTCGAATATTGAGTTGAGTTTTCCCTAGTCTCTTTCATCATCATCACCTTCGACCTAATCTTTTCGAACGATGCTTGAAGTACTTTAGAAATGAGTCTTTCAGAGAACCCTACGCTCTCAAGCATTGCCAAGGAGGTTTGGGTAAGCGATTTTGACAAGTAAGATAGTGCTTCTTGCCGAAGATAGCATAACTTACTAATCCAGATAGAAGGTAGGCCCAACAATGCCGGCATGGAGATGATGTGGGTCCCCAATAAGTCAAACCCCCCACTTCCCGGCACCCCCCTGTTTCTGGCACCCACAAAAACGCGAAAATCCACCACAACGCAATGCCCACCCCCAACCTCCTTTTATCACAACATTTTCAATTCGAGTCCAAATGGGCTCATTTTTTGCACATACCTTCTTCTATATCTAATGCCTCAATATACCGAAGATCAGCTTCGTCAGGCTCTCGAGGACATCTCAAACGGCAAGAGTCAAAAGAGAGCCTCATTGGAGTATGGGATACCACGATCAACCCTCCAACTACGTCTCCAAGGTGGTCAGACTAGGAAAGTGGCTTTTGCTGACTGGCAGAGGCTGTCTCCTGACCAGGAGAGTAAGCTGGCACAATGGGTTCGCATTCAGGCTTCGCTGGGCCTCGCACCAACGCACCAACAGGTGAAGGAATTCGCAGAGCGAGTTCTGGCTGCTGCTGGGGATACCAAACCATTAGGAAAAGGCTGGATCTATGCCTTCGTGAGGAACCCTATCATTAAGGTTCAGAGAAGTCGTTCCATCGATTCTAGACGCGTTAATGGGGCATCTACTGAGGTCATTAGGAACTGGTTTAAGTTCCTTGCTATCCCTGAGATCAAGGACATCAAACCAGCCAACAGATATAATATGGATGAGACTGGCATCCTCGAGGGTCAGGGAGCTAATGGGTTAGTGCTGGGCATGGCTGAGACGACGTCTGTTCGCAAGAAACAACCTGGGTCGAGGGCATGGGTCTCTATCATTGAGTGTATCTCAGCCTTGGGTAGGGCACTTCGTCCTCTTATCATTTTCAAGGGAAGACGGTCCAACAACAGTGGTTTCCATTACATCTGGTTCCATACGATGGGTGGGAGTTTACAGCAACAGATAATGGCTGGACTACAGACTTAACTGCCATTGAATGGTTAGAGAAGGTGTTTATCCCACAGACTATGCCCGAGGCTGAGGGAGGCTCGACTGTTGATTGTGGATGGGCATGGGAGTCATACGACGACAGACTTCATGTGGAATTGCTATATTAACAATATCCATTTACTGTTCTTACCACCACACTCCTCTCATGTCCTCCAGCCACTTGACCAGTCTGTCTTCAGCCCTGTTAAGTCAGCCTATCGGAAGGAGTTACTTGTCTCAATGGAACGACTCTACCATTATAGGTAAAAGAACTTCCTGGACTGTTACCAGAAGGCTCGACTTGCTGGTCTATCAGTCTCGAACATCAGAAGTGGTTGGAAGTGGACTGGTCTACACCCTGTAGCGATGGTTAAGCCCCTGATGAACCCTATGGTATTACCTGAGCCTTCTGCTAAGCCCACCACACCCAAACCAACCAGTCGGGGCAAAAGCGATGCCATAATGGTGCCATAATGGTCAACAAACTACCCCTTGAGCCATGGGATTCTGCTTCTCTGCAGTGGTCTGGTCGACACCCAGGAAGCTGGCAGAGCTCAGCGGTCAACTGCACTTATACACCCAACTCGACAATGATACCAGCACTCAACGGCTGCTGTTCAGGAAGGTGAAAAAGGCTTCACAGAGCAGGCCTGGCAACTGGCAGTTGCCCAGCAGCAGCTGGCTCACCTGAGGGCTCAAGTTACCAACGCTGCAGTTAGAAGAGGAAGACTGTTCAGATCGATCCCAACACGAAGTTTGCGAACATCAGGGATATCCATCGGGCTCAAATCGAAGCGGGTGAAAAGGAGGTTATTACGGCTGAATCCAGCGACTCTGAATGCCCTAGTGAGGCTGGCAGTTGTATTGTAGTGGGTGTGGTTGAGGATCAATAGTTAATAGTAATGAGGAGGTTGGGTTGTGATCCCATCGTTTTTGTGGGTGCCAGAAACAGGGGGGTGCCAGGAAGTGGGGGGTTTGACTTATTGAGCTCAATCATGGAGGATATCTTTTGGACATGTTAAGAATTTGTGTGCTTAGTACTTCCACAATTTGGTCCTTAAGTTTCTTCTCGATACTGCTAATTAAGATTTGAAGGCTTGCACGTGGCCAACTAACATCCGGAAAATAAGATACAAAATTTATCGGGATTATCAGAACTAGCAGTTTTTCGTGTGATATTACACATTACCAAGGACATGAGGGTTCAAGACTTTCCCCTCATGCCTACATGTAGTGATTACTTTGGGACTGGACTGACAAGAAGTATTGAAATTGAAGATAGAGGAGACTAGAGAGATTGAGAAAACACGATGCACTTCTAAATATTGAAGAGAAGGAAAGACAACAAAAACCGATAGAAGTAGTCTGGTCTCGTAACTAGAAACCGAAGGGAGCAGCATCTGCGACATTTGAACAGCTAGTGAGGATCTGGTTGTTGACCACAGTCTGAGAGTTCGAAACGACGAGGCCGCCAGCGGGATTCGTAAGGTTGAAGGTGAACTGTCCACAGGCCTGGGCATCTACATAAAGGATGCGGAAAGGATAGTATTCACCAGCGACAGCAGTGAAGACGTAAGTACCCGAGCTGCTGGCGTTGTCGTAGTAATCGATAATTCGATTTGCATTGCTGTTCGCGTAGCCAGTCTTTGTAGTACTACTGTCTATCCAGAGGTACGCCGCATCATCTATGTTGCTGAAGCTGAACGTATAGGTTCCGGATGTAGCGGGATGGAAATACCCAATGTTCTGAACAACGCTGTATGAGATCCCCCCATTCACAGTAGTTCCATATACAGTCGCGGGGTTACCACACTGATTCGACAATCCGATAGTATTAGTGATGCCCGTATTAGTAGGAGTTTGTCCGTTAAGGACGGTTTGTATGTTGAAATATGTTTGAGACCAAGCAGTTCCGGCCCCTGCGGGCTGTTGGGGAATTTGGCCTGAGGAGCTCGTATTCGCAACGGTGGACTGTGTGAAGGCATAGTAGGCCCATCGTGATCCTGTCGTACAAACAGGGCTTGGAACGATAGTAACCACAGTGGTTGTTCCACCGGGATTGGTTTGAGGAAGTGTCGTCACGCCGCTTTGAGTTCCCGTCGAAGTCAGGGTCGTATAAGCACCGGTAATGGGAACGAAAGTGATGACAGTAGTCGTGCCAGCAGGATTTGTTTGGGGCAAAGTCGTGACACCCGTTTGGGTGGCAGAAGAGACGACTGTCGTGAGAGCGCCAGTAATGGGAACGAATGAAACGACGGTAGTCGTACCGGCAGGGTCTGTTTGTGGTAAAGTCGTGACGCCCGTTTCGGTAGCGGAAGAGACCACAGTGGTAATGGCACCAGTGATCGGAACAAAGGTAACAATGGTAGTTGTACCGGCAGGGTCTGTCTGCGGTAGGGTCGTGACACCGGACTGAGTTGCGGAGGAGATAAGCGTTGTGAGGGCACCGGTGATAGGAGGCACGAAACTGAGAACTGTAGTAATGCCGGCTGGGTCAGTCTGGGGCAGCGTAGTTACGCCCGTCTGGGTTGCCGTTGATATAAGCGTTGTGAAGGCACCAGTCAGTGGCACAAAGCTGACAACTGTAGTAGTACCAGTTGGGTCGGTCTGAGGTAACGTCGTAACACCCGTCTGAGCTGCCGATGAAATGACAGTGGTAATGAAACCCGTGGCTGGAGGAACGAAGCTGACAACTGTCGTGATACCCGTCGGATCGGGTTGAGGAAGCGTAGTGACGCCCGTCTCAGTTGCCGTTGATACAACAGTTGTAAAGCCGCCAGTAAGTGGCACAAAAGTGACAACTGTGGTAATCCCGGTCGGGTCGGTCTGAGGGAGGGTCGTGACGCCCGTCTGAGTTGCAGATGAAACGACTGTGGTGATGAAACCCGTGGCTGGAGGAACAAAACTAAGAACCGTGGTGATACCCGTTGGGTCGGTTTGAGGTAGTGTGATTACTCCTGTCTGAGTAGCAGTAGAGACCAGCGTGGTAATGAAGCCAGTAGCTGGAGGAACGAAAGTGATGACAGTGGTTATTCCAGTCGGATCAGTCTGAGGTAGGGTTGTAACGCCTGTTTGAGTGGCTGTTGAAACCACCGTAGTGATAAGGCCAGTGGCAGGAGGCACGAAGCTAATGACCGTAGTGATGCCCGTTGGATCAGTCTGAGGTAGGGTTGTAACGCCTGTTTGAGTGGCTGTTGACACAATCGTCGTAAGGAGTCCAGTGGCAGGAGGCACGAAGCTAATGACCGTAGTGACGCCCGTTGGGTCGGGTTGAGGAAGTGTAGTCACTCCCGTTTGAGTGGCTGTTGACACAATCGTCGTAAGGAGTCCAGTGGCTGGGGGGACGAAACTAACCACCGTGGTCGTGCCAGCAGGGTCAGTCTGCGGCAAGGTAGTAACGCCCGTCTGCGTGCCCGTCGACACAATTGTCGTGAGAAGTCCGGTGGCTGGGGGAACGAAACTGACTACCGTGGTCGTGCCAGTTGGGTTCGTCTGAGGCAAGGTAGTAACACCTGTCTGCGTTCCTGTCGACACTAACGTCGTCAGGAACCCTGTTGCTGGCGGAACGAAAGTGATCACAGTCGTCGTTCCAGCAGGATCCGTCTGAGGCAAAGTAGTGACGCCCGTTTGCGTGCCAGTCGAAGTCAAGGTTGTCAGTAGTCCCGTAGCTGGCGGAACGAAGGTAACGATCGTCGTAGTTCCAGCAGGATCTGTTTGAGGTAAGGTGGTGGCGCCTGTCTGCGTACCCGTTGAAGTTAGGATCGTAACGAGGCCAGTGGCTGGAGGGACGAAGGTGATCACAGTGGTTGTGCCGGCAGGATCTGTTTGAGGTAAAGTGGTGACTCCGGTCTGACTGGCAGTAGAAGTCAGAGTTCGGATGACCCCGATGCGAGGCACGAACGTGATCACAGTAGGTGGTCCACCGGCTGTTCCGGGAGGAATAGTTGTCAAGCCTGTGGTGCTGCCTGTTGAGGTGATAGTGACTGGAGGAGTTGTAGTAACGAATGTCACTACCGTAGGAGCGCCACCTGAAGGTCCAGGAGGAATAGTAGTTAGGCCAGTTGAACTTCCGGTTGAAGTGATAGTAATCGGTGCCGGGGCAGTCACAAATGTGACGATTGTTATCGAGACAATGTCGTTGCCATTGCCAAGAGAGTAGGGAAGCGTGGTTAGGCCGGTTGTACTTGCTGTCGAAGTGAGGAATATTGGGATCACCTGGTGGGTTCCGGTCAGTGAGACGCTAGGGGTTGAAGTACTGGACGTTGGAGGCGTATAGACCAGATCGCTCGTAATGGGTGCCGAGGGACTAGAGGTACTCAAAAGGGTGGTCGATGTCACGGGTTCCGCGGTAACAAAGGTCACTACAGTAGTCGGGCCGCCGTTAGGGCCTGGCGGCAGCGTTGTGAGACCCGTGGTCGTTGCTGTTGAAGTAACAGTTACAGGCGGAGTCCCCGTAACAAAGGTAACCACTGTTTGAGGTCCTCCATCTAGGCCAACGGGAAGAGTTGTCAGACCTGTAGTAGATGCCGTCGAGGTTACCGTCACCTTGGAGAAGGTGATAAGAGTGGTTAATAAAGTAGTACCTCCACTGGGGCCTGCTGGGGTCGAAGTTCCCGTGACAAAGGTGATCACGGTAGGTGGACCTCCAGGACCCCCGGGAACTGTCGTCAGGCCGGTGGTAGTTGCAGTAGACGTGATCGTGACTGGTGGTAGACTCGCCACATAGGTGATGACTGTGTTGGGGCCGCCGGGTCCTCCTGGTACAGTGGTCAAGCCTGTCGTACTGGCAGTCGATGTGATGGTTACTGGTGCCGGGCCTGTGGCGAAAGTGATAACTGTGGGCGGGCCGCCATTAGGACCAGGAGGCAATGTTGTGAGACCCGTCGTGGTAGCGGTAGACGTGATGGTGACCGGTTGTGGGCTTGTGACGAACGTGATAATCGTATTGGGACCTCCGGGACCGCCAGGGATTGTTATCAAGCCTGTCGTTGTGGCCGTTGATGTGAGCGTCACGGGTGCTGGGCCTGTAGCAAAAGTGATGACCGTGTTCGGTCCTCCAGGACCGCCAGGAATCGTTGTCAAGCCTGTCGTTGTGGCCGTTGACGTGAGCGTTATGGGTGCTGGGCCTGTAGCAAAAGTGATGACCGTGTTTGGTCCTCCAGGACCGCCAGGAATCGTTGTCAAGCCGGTTGTAGTAGCCGTTGACGTGAGCGTTACGGGTGCTGGGCCTGTAGCAAAAGTGATGACGGTTGCTGGCCCTCCATTCGGCCCAGGAGGAATAGTTGTCAGCCCTGTGGTGCTTGCGGTTGAAGTGAGAGTAACCGTGGTGAGCTGCGGTAGGGTAGTGAAGGTAATAACGGTTGGTGGTCCGCCGTTCGGACCAGCAGGAATAGTCGTGAGACCAGTCGTGCTGGCAGTCGAAGTCAGGGTAACCGCGGGCGGTCCTGTAACGAAGGTGATGACTGTGGGAGGTCCACCATTCGCGCCTGGAGGAACAGTCGTAAGGCCCGTAGTACTGGCAGTCGAAGTGATTGTGACCGGGATGGGCGCAGTGGTCGTGGCAAAAGTGACAACAGTGGGAGGGCCACCGTTTGGACCCGGAGGAAATGTAGTTAACCCAGTGGTGCTTCCAAAAGACGTGAGGGTGACAGGAGGAGGACCGGTAGCAAACGTCACCACCGTTGGCGGACCGCCGTTAGGACCAGGGGGAAGAGTTGTCAGCCCGGTAGTGCTGGCCGTAGACGTAATTGTGACTGGTACCGGCGCGGTTGTTGTAGCGAAAGTAACAACTGTGGGAGGGCCTCCACCGGGGCCCGGAGGTAGCGTAGTCAATCCGGTTGTGCTTCCGAATGATGTCAAGGTGACAGGAGGAGGGCCAGTGGCAAAAGTCACCACCGTCGGCGGGCCGCCGTTTGGACCAGGGGGAAGAGTTGTCAGCCCGGTGGTGCTGGCCGTAGACGTGATTGTAACTGGTACCGGCGCGGTCGTTGTGGCATAGGTAACAACGGTAGGAGGGCCTCCACCTGGCCCCGGAGGAAATGTCCTTAGCCCAGTTGTGCTTCCAAACGATGTCAAGGTGACTGGAGGAGGGCCGGTAGCAAAGGTAATGACTGTCGGGGGGCCGCCGTCTGGGCCCGGAGAAAGGGTCGTAAGACCGGTCACGCTCCCAGTCGAGGTCAACGTAATAGGCTGGGGACCTGTGACGAATGTAACGACTGTAGGAGCGCCGCCATTTGGCCCAGGTGGAATGGTGGTGAGACCGGTAGTGCTTGCAGTAGATGTCAAAGTGACAGGAGGTATAGCCGCCGGCGGACCGGTAACGAAGGTAACTATCGTGGCAGGTCCCCCGTTAGGCCCCAACGGGAGCGTTGTCAGGCCAGTAGTCGATGCAGTAGACGTGATGGTGACTGGTGGAGGCCCTGTTGCAAAGGTAATGACAGTTGGTGGACCGCCGTTAGGCCCGGGGGGAAGGGTAGTCAACCCCGTTGTCGATGCCTGCGAGGTTATCGTCACTGGAGGTAAAGGAGTTGTGACAAAGGTCACCACAGTCGGCGGACCACCATTAGGTCCGGGAGGAAGAGTTGTTAACCCCGTCGTAGATGCTTGCGAGGTTATCGTCACTGGAAGAGGTCCCGTTGCAAAAGTAATGACAGTTGGTGGACCACCGTTAGGCCCGGGGGGAAGAGTCGTCAACCCCGTTGTGGATGCCTGCGAGGTTATCGTCACTGGAGGTAGAGGAGTTGTGACAAAGGTAACCACAGTCGGTGGACCGCCGTTCGGCCCGGGGGGGAGTGTAGTCAACCCCGTGGTAGATGCTTGCGAGGTTATCGTCACTGGGGATAAAGGAGTTGTGGCAAAAGTGACCACAGTCGGCGGACCGCCATTGGGGCCGGGTGGAAGAGTACTCAGGCCAGTAGTGGATGCGAAAGATGTTATCGTCACCGTTCCCGGGGGCCCTGAAGCGAAAGTGACAACAGTAAGAGGGTCTCCTTTGGGCCCCGGGGGAAGAGTCGTCATCCCAGTAGTGAGGGCAGTAGAGGTGAGTGTTATTGTACTTCTAGGGTTGGGTAGCGAAGTAACGAACGTGACGATTGTAGGAGAACCCCCGTTGGGGCCAGGGGGAATGGTTGTCAAACCAGTTGTAGAAGCAAGTGATGTAATTGTAACTGGACCAGATTGGGGGGTCACAAAGGTGACTACTGTCGGAGAACCTCCATTGGGACCGGGAGGAATGGTTGTGAGCCCAGTTGTCGACGCGACTGATGTGAGGGTCACTGGAGACAGTGGCGTGGTGACAAAAGTAATCACGGTGGGGGGACTCCCATCAGATCCGGGAATGGTGCTCAGGCCAGTCGTCTTCGCCGACGAGGTCACTGTGACTGGACATGTCACAAATGTAACCACCGTAGACGGGCCACCATTTGGGCCTGGGGGGACGGTTGTCAACCCGGTCTTGCTTGCGAGAGAAGTGACGGTGGGCAGAGAAGATTCAGGAGACTTAACATAGGTGATAACCGAAGTTGGGTCCCCCGGACTCTTTGGTGGAATCGTCGTGGCCCCCGTCTCGGAGCCTGTCGACGTAAAAACGACAACGCCAGGATTTTCAGAAGCGGTAAAAGTCACTGTTGCTTTTGATATGATAGTTCCGCCCTTGACCACATCGGTTGTGGTCAGCCACTCAGTCCAGGTCCTGTTGGAAAGAATTAGTATTGTCCATATTGAATCTCCGAGAATTACTGACCTAGTTCTCGTAGAAACTGCAACATTGCCAGAACACTGGATCTCAAAAGGTTGGTATTCGACCACAACTCTGGCATCTGTGGGGCATGGGGGACTACTGCCCGCCGGGACAGCAGCAACCCTCGTCAGAAAGACGAAGGAAATCGGAATCTTCCACTTCATCTTGCCGTATGGCTGACAAGTAAGCTTGAAAGATTATGTCTGGTATTCCGAGTTGCCAGAATTGTCCAACAGTGAAGAAGAGTGAGCTTTTGAGTTGATTGTGCCCTGATGCCTTGACATGGAAGAGCCTTGACTGTATTTAAGCTTCGAGTGCTAGATATTCCCTAGTGGACATCGCAAGCCTTTGAACCTCATCCTGTTTTGAGGAGCCAAAACTGCGCAAGCCTCTGAGGTTACACTGCCATTTGAGCCGGCAAGTTGACTGACTGGCTGACTTTCACACCATCACAAACCTGAGCTACCTGTGATCAAACTTGTTATCGTAGCTCCGAGAACATTATCCCCGATATTTCCAGCCATCTGCTTCAAGACTGGTGCAGCAATAGTAAGCGACAAGATCGTCTGTTTGCGTCATTGGATTTTCTTCTATAAGAAAACATCTTATAGTACTTCTAGGTTATGGAAGACTTGGAGTAGTGGTACAAGTCGGCCACCGAGAAACGAAGACCGTTCAGGGTAGAATTAGTTTCGCTCGAAGTTGGAATATTGGATGAATCCAGTCTCGCCTCTTGCTCATAATGTCTCCCATAATCTGCATGTATCTTAGTTTGTCTACTCAAAAGAGCCTATGAATCGTTCCAAGAAGATTTCGCTTCTGCATGGAAACATAGAGAGACGATTGGGCTAGGGCATGCCTTTACCAAGATATCATAGGTGTGGTGCACGAAATTTCGAGCTCCACTTCAGCCGCTATGAAAGTTGGCTTAGAATGGATCGACTGTTTGGGACCGGTTGGAGTCGTTTTCTTGTTGAGACTGCATTCCGATCTTGCGACCCGAGATCGGAAGAATCGGAAGCAACGGGCGGTGATGGTTAAAGTGGGTGGAATGCATCCGGATATCCATCCATCTGGGTGGTGGTGGCTGTGCTATTTGGTATGAGCAATACTAATACACGACCATATAAGGTTTGTTAGGGGAAGACATTATTGAATGTTCGGGCCAGATGCCATGCCGAGGTTGATCAATATCGGCAAACAGGCCTTTGTCCTGACCTGAGTTACATAGCGCTCGACTTAGTTAGTGACTTGCCTGACATAATGAATGGCGGGCTAGGCCAGCTTCAGAAATCGGTTGTTTTCGTGTGGGAATACACAGGTACCGCATGGAGACTGAACTGAGACATTTTCCAGAACGCTAAACGCCGCCCGGCACTCGTACAGCTCTCCGCTGTTTTGGCGTCCAAACTAGATCCAGCCTCAGGCGCGTCAAAAGGGTCATAATTTATGATCTTTGGGGTTAAGAAGTCAAACTTTATCTTCCGGGCCCTTGAAACTGAGGCTAGCTAAATGCATTTCACAAGATCATTTGGTACTAGGTGGTAGGTTGCCACATTCAGATTTCACTCTTCGGTATGACCCTTTCCAGTCGAGGGGACTCTCGATGTTTGAAGAAATTCCGCATGTCTGCACTTAGAATAGCTCAAATACCACCTACATTTCAGTGAGAAGTATGAAACCCGAAATTAGTTCTCAACTCTCCTCAAATCTAAAGAGGGCTGGAAGATTAGTCCATGTAGCAGCAAAAAGCTGCATTTGATGCCAGTCCATGTGTTGGAATCTGTCAAAGCTAACCACACCGCATTGGAAGATATTTGTGAGATATGGCTTAAAGCTGCGATCAGAGCCTGGCGTGTGTGATGACTGAAGACGGGACCAAGACTCTGCAGTCAGAAAGGCGAGAGGAGGTGTGCCTTCGTCTAGAGACTTTGCATTGTCAGGATCAAGTAAAGCTGCCCAAAAGGCACAGTGTCCCATCTGTAAATGTCTTGAAGTGGCTCTAGATAGGTACGTCAATGTACATCATTTCAAATCAAAAGACCTTTTCCAGCTACCTTACCTTGGACAAATACCATAGACTCTAGTGTATTGCGCCATCCACCCAAATCCAGCAATTTCACGGCCATGATCCGCCGGACGCTTTTGACACAAGTGCAAGATTGAGAGTGTCAAGTATTCACATCGAAGCTATCACCGAAACGCCTCGTTCTTCAGACGGTAAGCAGCGGTCGCCAAGTTGATGGGTAGACTTGACAGTTCTAGGAACTCAGGACTCAGTTCAGCTCACATCACTATTGATAACACCAAGGTATTACGTTCAAAGCATGGCATACTCATTTGGTAATTAGCTCTTAGCAGACGCCGTTCGGCCACGCATTAATTAGTAAGACTATTTGCGCCTTATGGATTGGAAAGAGTCGAAGGGTCTTGTGGTTTTCTACAAAACCCCGCTCAATTGCCCTATTTTGGCAAGTCCTTGTTTGCTCTTGCCCTTCAACTCGATATTGAATAATACAACGAGTCAACATTTTCTTGCCTCATTCTTCTTAAGCCCCTTTCGCTACTATATCTTGTCTTGCCATATTCTCGCCAAAATGAAAACTGAAGCCCTAGTAACCATTTCGCTTTGCGCATGCTTCGCGACAACATTGACTACTGAGGTCATGATATTGGCAACATCAACAGTCGACTGTTCAGTAAGCTCAAAGCTCTTCTACAAGTTCAGGAAACTCTGACCCGTAAAAGGATTATGCCTTCCCAACAAGGCTTGCACCAGTACCTGCCAGTAAGCCCGGAATATCTTCTAGTATTGGTACGTGAAACTTTCTCGTCTCGAGGATACTTCGTTGATGTATGATGTGTACCATAGTTACCATGTCACCTGCAACCCCTGGTACCGCTGGCAGTCCCGTCAGCCCCCCTGTGTCGACCAGCGGTGCTGGCGGCGGTGCTGGCGGCGGGAGTGGCGGTGATGGAAGTGGTGGTGGTGGAAGTGGTGGTGGTGGTGGTGGAAGTGGTGGTGGTGGAAGAGGAGGAAGCGGAGGAGGAAGCGAAGGAGAAGGGTCCGGCGGTAGCAATGGAGCTTCATCAACGACGGGGGGTACAGCTTCGGGCACAACAATCATACAAGTCCCGACGGCAGGTGCCCAAGCCATCCGGCCTGGCGAGTGGGTGCTGGTCATGATCGGCTTGTTGATGGCCTTCTAGAGTCTCAGTATTTACCTGAGAAACATGTTACCACTGCTTGCGGTCCCAGATTCCAAAGATTGTCATCCAATGCAAAATGTATGTCCAGCTCAAAAGTGCGCGCTTGGACAGAAAATATGCCTGGAGACACAAACTTTCTTTAGAGGCAGTTTCTCCTATTCGCAAATGATGAGTACTGGCTGATTACCTCGGTATTCCCTGCTTGGTGGTAGCCATTGAGACACAATTTTCCCTATGTCCAACGTATCTGTTGACCACAGGCAATGCATGTCACTCGAAGGCCACGTAAGAGACTTTCTGTGGTTACACGAAGCCTCAGTGGAACCTACATGGAGAAAAGGCTAGCCTAGATGGTCCGTAACCATATATGTCATTACATTAGGAAAAGGATCGAATTTTGATCGTCAGATGAGGCATCCGCGCGTAAGTGATTGAAACATGATATGGTAGGTATGTTGGCTTGAACTTGTCACGTCAAGTAGCTTGCTTGCGAGTGTTCAAGTTGGTTGAGATTCATCAATTCAAACTCGCGCCACAGTCCTAAATTGCATCCTAATTATGACTATTGTTGCTCCAGAGACCTTGCTTAAAGTACTTAATAATTACGATAACATTAAGAAGAGACCTGACTCTTCTGCGCCTCTCGGCCTAGCTCTTCCATCAAATCCGAAAACGATAGTCCCATTCCCATCATCCTCCCCAAGTGGTCTCTCAAATTCGAGATTGCCTCTGTCGTGGCCTTAGCAACTCGTCTCTCATCATCACGTGCTGCCTTTTTCCGCCTGTCTATTGTCTTCCATGATCCCGAGGCTTGAACTCCTCTCGAAATCAGCTTTCCATCCTTCACTGTTCTGTTGACAAAAAGGTATTTGCGATCTCGAGGAGGAGAAAATCTGCTGGCCTCTGCCACTGAGTGAGATCGCAATCGATGACGAGTTGGTGATGGTTTGGGATACATGTCCGTGGCAGCGCGACTGTTATTTGAGTCGTATTCCATCAGCGGGCGTGAGGATAAGTCTGAGAGTTGATGGACGTTGTCAATATTGATATCCGAGGATGTAGTGTAGTA